TTGGCTTCCCGGAAAGTTTCCACATCAGGCCTTTTGGGTACATTTGTCCAAGGGGTATGTGAAAGGGGTATGTACCCCCTTTCCTTTCTTGGCTGACGTTGGAAGGGGAGCAAAGATTTTCAGATTTTAGCAGTTCAGGGGTTGGATTTCAATCACTCAACCACAGCAAGCCAACATGTAAAATGCTTCCCAACAACAGCCATGCTTTGGCTTCCCATGAGGTGAGTGGGAGGTGTGGGGATCTGGGGTCGGTGGGGTTGCAGCGGTCTGACAAATGAGGAAGTGCACTGCAGCTCTGCAGGCGCTCACTTTTTCGCGATGGTCTGAGCTTTGCAACAACGGCACTGCTGTAATGGTGAAGCTCACCTTTTGCATTTAAAGGTTCACGGAAGATGGCTCGGAATCAGTTCTGACTGGGGGCAAATGCTTGAGGACTGGGGGCAAATGCTCGAGGGTTTGAAATTGAAGGCAAAAAACGCCAAGAAGTCTAAGTGGGCACCTAAAGATGGCTTTTTGGTCAGGCGGTTGGCTTTCTTTCCGGTTCCCTTCAACATCTATGCCAACAAAGGTTCACCAGTTTGAGAGATACATGAGGATGCATTCCATTGGGGCTTCAAGAGAGGCTCTGGGGAGGCTCTCGCGAAAATTTGTGCGCTGCGATTTGCGGGCTCTGTCCTGCATCACCCAAGGGCCTGAAAATGTTGCAGCTTGTGTTGTGTGCTTTGCACTACTCTGCTCGAGGTTGTGTGACGCTTGTCGCGTTCGCTTCTGACATGGTGCAGCTGTTCTGCTTCAACTTTATCTTTACCGCCACTGTGTGGGGCTATGCCGGCTACATGTTGCAGCATCTGTGTTCATTCTTCCTCATGCGCTAGGGCAGCGGATGCAGTGTAGATGCGGCTGTGAAGGATTGAAGATCGTGAATTGTGGCACACAGGCAACTGGGCTGCAAAACTGATGCGTTCTTACAACGCCGTGTTACTGCCGAGGCATCTCACACGTGTCCAACTTCTGTTAACAAGCTTTGATAAGTATCTACATGGCTAGCCAGCGGCACTTTGAGTTTCAGCATACCTTCTTAGGGCGTACACCGTTGGCCGGTACAAAGCCCGAAGTCCACGTTCCGAACACGACTTGCCCCGCGCCTGTGTTCGGAGCGCGCCTGCGGCGACCGCACCATAGGCCTGGCACAGGTTTGCTCGGCCTCCGCTTGAGATGTGCACCAAATGACTTAACAACTCCCTTTTTGCTTTCTAGCAAACATACACCGCACGGAAACCAACCAACAAGATCTGAAGGGGTTGGTAAAAGGCTTCTGGGATGCTTGTCTTCCCTCCAAGCACTCCACACGGCGTGCACGGCGACACACCCACCCACACACCTACCCACACACCTACCCCCACACACACACAGTGGCCCGGCAGGGAGAGGTCCAAGTCCAGGTGATTCTGTGGCTGCGTTGTTTCCTTCTCAAGCTGCCTGAGGCTTGATTACTCAAACACGAATCCCTGGAGTACTCTCAGCACGGAGCTCGTCTAGCCCGCAATTCGCTTGCTATGATTGTCGGTGGTCAGAAAATAGAAGTGTCAACTCTTGAAGGAAGGAGTTTCGGCTTCGGCAGGTGGTCGAGGACAGCTTCAAGCCCCCTACGCATCCACACATACACAACACATATATATATATATACATACACTCTGCTACGGGTGGGGGCTTGGGTCGCTCCCCTGCAGGTTTCCCTTTCAAACAAACCAGCAAACAAGGAGTCCCCCATTTCCAGACATGCACCTCATCCGCAATGTACTCCTTCCGGAAGCTGTGATGCTCCAACTAAAAGCGACAGAAATGGATGGGAAGGTCCAACTCATAGCCAAAAACACCCATGTGACAGGGTTGACACAACGCCAAGACCGTTTTCGGGTCAGAAAAAACGTGCAACAAAGCGCAACATAAATCTTTGTCAGGTCCCAGACATGGTGACCACAAGCGATACCCCTAGTGTTGCCCAAAACGTGCGAAGGGTCCAAGGCGGCAAGGAATCTCAAGGAATCCGGTGCCCATGCTGGATAATCCCATTGTTTTGCCACTCTCAAAGTCATCCCTCAATTGATAGAACAAAGGGAACCTGGTGGCAGCGGGTCAAAAATATGTACCCAAAATGGGAACCCTGGTAAATGGAAGCATGGATTAACCCTGTGGTCCCACGGTGGTGTTTTTTTTGACCCACAGCCTGGTGAGTGACCTTGAAAATCCCCGGTCCGAAGAATGACGCCCAGGAAAGTTGGTTGAAAGCGTCACGCCCCATGGGCAGCCCCTCCGGAGGCTTGTGGAAGCCGCGCTCGGAGATGGCGTCCACTGCCCCCGGGCAAACGAGAAACGGGGATGCCCTTGAGAGGGAAATGGGGTACCCCGAAGATGGGCGTCGGTAGTCCCACTAAACCCCTGAAAGTCGTCTTTTGTTAAAATAAAAAAATAAAAAATGTGAGAGCCTTTCTCGCGATCTGCCTTCCGGCGTCAACTTTTTTTGCAACTCTTCCGGCGAAAACGAAGGGATCTTGCGGCTGCTCCCAGCAGCCTAGAGGTTGGATGCGCCAAGTTGGCAGGTTGCAGGTAGCACTCCATCCTTCCAATAGAAATCATGTGCTTCAAGAGCCATGGAAAGGGCCTCCTTTGATGTTCGGTTGTGAGAAGAAACCTCATAGATGTTATGATCTGCAAATCTTCCATCCAAAGCTTGCGAGACAGACATGGACCCCTGTGCGAAACTGGGAGCAATCCGAGCCTAGGTCATTGCCGCGCTGAGACTTACCAAGAACCGCACACTCGCCTCGGTGTCTTTCGGTGCCCTTCCACGACGATGCCGTGTTTGCTTTTGGCGAGGGTGATGCAATTGACGCCTCACATGTGGATAAGTGAAACTCGCCCCTCCAAATCGTTGTTCTACATGTCTGTAGATATACAGACATCTGTATATGCATAGGCATAATACATATATATATGGTATGTATACACATTGCAATATGCAAATTCCGATCTTGTCGTGGCTTTCTTGAAACGGCACCGTGGTGAGTGAGGGCCACCGCTTGCGTCCGGGTCCGGCAGGGAGCAAAGCGCCGGGCATGAGCCGGTCGCGTGTTCCCGACTAAAGGCGTCGGATGTTTGACGTGGTTCGAAGGCTTGGAGTCTTTGGGGGTGGAAGGAAAAAAGTGGAGAGGTTGAGAAGTTGGAGGTTTGGGTTGGGGAGGCTGCAGAGGTTGGGGAGGTTGGAGGTGATTTGGGATCTGTGGAATGTGGGGATTAGGCAATGTGGGATTCTATGCCAGAACCCCCCTCCGTTTGCTAAGCGGGGGCAAAAGGAAGACATGGAATTCCCTGCAGGAATTTCAGAAAAGCTTCATGGAATGTCCCTCCTCTTGGCGGGGACCTGCCCCAAGCAAAATTAGGCAAAGCAGGTGCTCGGGAACTTGCACGTGCGGCAGGTGCTACTTGTCGCCTCTCTGGTTGGGTCGTGTCGCCTCACCTTTTCTTACCCAGAGTTCGGTTTTGGCGCAGAGTCAAGCACAAACAAAGCTTTGTCTGGGGGTGGCCTGGAGAGCGGACCGCTTCTTGAGGGGAAAACGTAAATTGCCAGTTTTGGGGTGCCCTGTTTGACCTCGCCCAGAAAGCAAGGACAAAAACACTCATATTTGCAGGTAGGGATAACCAAAGACCTGCCCAAAAGAAGTGCAACGACAAGAACATGATCTTACTTTGAATGCTACTGTGGATGGACGAACTCCATTTTGCACCACCCTTCAGAAAAAACATGGTTTCTGACTCGACTCCCCAAAAAACAAATATCATCAACCCGTTCTGGCTTCAACCATATTCTTTGTTCATTTCATAGCACGATCTCCGGAAATCGCCAGCCATCTACAAGTCGCCCACGCCTCCGATGCCACTCGCCGGCTCAGAGCCGACCGAAGCGGCGACTCGACTCAGATGGCCGCCTCTGCCACCGCCTCCGCCTGCGCCACGGTGACGGTGAGGTTGCCTCCGGGCGCCGTCGCTTAGTTGCCGCCGTGGCTTGGGTGTTTTCTGGTGTCTGCGTTTGTGTACATCGGACTAAGCTGCATGCCCTGCGCCAAACTCAGCGAAGGAAAAAGAGCCTCATGTGGCAAAGGCTGCTTCGCATGTACAGTACATACATCTGTCCGGAAAGTGCTTGGAGCGCTTCTCAAACAATACGGCCCGTGGTCCTGTGCAAGTTGCAAGGCAAAAGGAAACCCTATCTTTTTCAAGGGCCCCTTATCGGAAAAAATGTTCGTAGTCCGCCGGGGACAACACTGAGCTCAGCGACAAATGGCCATGGGTCAACATCCCGTACCCCCAGTGAACATCCCAATCCCCACTAAAATAGGTTCTGTAATGGGTGGTGAGTTCACCTACCAACCAAAATGGGATCCCAAAAAACGGTTTTGCCCCACAGCGACTAATGCTCAGCGACCAAAAATGGCCTCCTCCGCAATCCACGGTAGCACCCCAGGGCGTCCACCAAAAGGCCTTCCAGCAACTGGCCTCGCGGAGTGAAATATATATATATATATATATGTTTGGCTGCGCTGGACCCGGGCTTTCAGTTTCGGGTCCGGAAAAAATCGGATCTGCAAAGAGTCCATTCCCAAAACCTGACATGGTTTTCGATACCCGGTAGAAGTATCACCGCTGCTCGTCTCAAATTGAGAGACTGCAACTGACCATCCAAAGATTCAGTTCTCATTGTTTGGCTGGTTCCATCGGCGGGCAATGAGATGGAATCCTCCAACTTCGGCCAACACCAAATGGGCCCAGTTGTTCGCGACTAGGCGCCAATCTCTCAAAGGCCGTGGCTTCTCACTCACCCAACCCACCCAACCCAACCCTCCCTCCCCCCCCCCCGCGCCCTGCCCGGAAAATGGTTGAATCCTGCGGCACCTGACCACGGCCGCCGGGTCACATGACCACATCTGGCTCTCTGGGCGGCCCTATTGAAAGTTCTCCTCTCGCAAGCCTCGCGCGAAGCCGCGCGCCTCGCAGCACTTCTTCAGCTTCCGCTTCCTGGGCGGAAAGGTATGTCACACAAAACCCACCCAGCATAGAAGCCCCGGAAGTGCTGAAGAATCCACCCAACTAAACAAACTCCCAGAAGCGGGAAAACCCACCTTGCTCCCGGAAGTGGGAAAGGTATGTGACACAAAAAACTGGAGGTCTTGGAAAGCCTCTGGGAGCCAGCGCCGGGGACCTTCACAAGGAACGTGGTCACTCAGGGGTGGAAGCCACAGGCAGCTTTTGGTCCCCAGCAGTTCAACCGAACGAGCTTTGCTTAGGTCCTCTGGAGACAAAACCAAGCACCAGTAACCTCTTTCCACAACCGAGAAGACACATAAGCACCGCATTCGGGCTGGAAAACAATCCAACTTTCGACCCGGGTTCAACCCCAATTGACCCAAAGAATTAATCTTAGGTAAACAATGGTTCGTCTCATGGGTCTCAAGTTGTTGATTGGCTCTTTGGTGGATATCATCCAGGGGAGTTACGTCAACCCCCAACCCCTCAGAAAAAAAAGAAAGAGAAGAAACATGTCCATTCACGGCCGTCAAACCACCAACCCCTCAGGCCGGGTCCCCAATTCATTCCACGGCCAAGCTGCGGCACCCAGATCGACTCCCCGCAGCGCACGCACCAGTTCTCGGATCGAGCGGCTTTCGATTTCGGCCGAGGCGAAGTTCCTTTTTCGTTTTGGTCGGTGACCAGTGGCTTGGTGTTTGTGTCCTCCAGTAAAGAGCTTAGAACAAGGCTACCAGCTTTTTTTCTGTAGTCTATCGTAGTAGGGGAACCCTCCCAACCAAAAAAGGGTAAAAGGGCACTACTGGGGGACCTAGTTAGCCTTTGTGCACTTCAACAAGCTCCACACGGAACCTGAGGTATGAGCATGAAGGAACTTGCTGCACTCTGGAAGGCCTCTTTTCAGGGTTCCATGCGAGGCTTGGAGGCAACGTGAATTGAGGAAAACACACAGAAATGATTCACAACTCCACCCATAGAGCCACAGTATTCCTCTGCCCCATGAGCACATGGACGGTCCAAATGATTGGTACTCCCTTTAACAGGCGGAAGAAGGTGGTATCAGGGTCCAAAAAGGGGGCCACATTGCCATAACCACAGAACGCATGTTGGATAACTGATATGTCGTGGAGGAGTAGCGCAGTGCGATTGAATCACGAGCGTTTGATGAGCAATATGGTCGACGATGCTCAAACCGGGTTCACAGGGAGTTTGAGTTGAACGACGAATCGCATATGGTGTATGCATACTTGTTTGAATACATGTGTTATATATATACATATACACATATGTATATATTTCTATATAACTTACTTGGTGAGTGTGTGTGTGTGTGTGTAGACCTACAGGGTAGACTTGAACCCAGTGGTTCACTACCCCCAAAAGGAAAATAAGCCTATTTTGGGCCAGAGTTGGCGACAAGCCCAGACAGCTTCGGTCAACATGGCCAGATGGATCACACATCAAATGAGTGGCTTTTGACAATCGTAGGCACCCCAGGGAGCTGAAATTCCAACTGCAAAGGGAGCCAACTGTCACAGACTACTGTGAGCGTGAGTGAAAGCATCTGAAGACTCTACACAGTAGCAACGAAAACCGGCTGAAAGAACCGGCTCCTTGGGGCTGCCACGTATTCTTTGCTGAGTCGTGTTGAACAAATAAAAAAAATCTCCGACATGCAATCCCTGCAACAAACAGCCAACACACTCGTGCAGGGGCAACGGTTCCCAGAACGGTTGGCGTCCTTTCGGTTTTCACAAACCAACCAAAAGGGTTCCCCCCAAAGACGCGAGCTCATCGTAGGTCTTAGTTCCAACCCCTTGGCCCGTGGCATCTCTTTTCAGGACGCTCAAGGGGCACTTGGGAAGAGGGGAGGGGAAGAGAGGGGAGGGGAGGGGAGGGCCGCTACAGGGGGAACTTGCAATTACATTCTCTCTTTAAACAAAAAAACAAACAAAAAAAGCAACAAAATGCAGCTTCACCTTCTGCCGGAACCTTTTCAGAATACCGACCACCCCACCCTGCCTTCCCCCAGCTCTTCCAGCCGCTCCTCGGTCGAAAAGCCGCACATGGCACGGGCGTCAAGCCGTGGAATCTGCGAGGGCCCGAGTTAGATGCAGCTCCTGAGGTAAAACAAAACGGGCCTGGAAGACCGTGTTCCTGTGAATCTTGACCCCAGAGTCATAAATCCATAAACCCCTGGTTGATTTTGATTGGGGGTGTCCGATTCCTGTTCGTGGGGGAATCGGACCACTTTTGGAGGGAACACCCCTAATAATGGGACTGGTTTATTAATCCTGGGTTAACCTCCACCGTTTCGTGCACCTGAAGCAAGATTAGGGCGGGCATGTACCATGGATCTCTGGTTGGTTGTGTGTGCCGGCGTGCCGGGCAAGACCTGTGCTAGGTGGTCTGGACGCATTCAGAGATCAGAGCAAATGGTCCGGTTCCGCTCTGCCCAGGGCAAACAAGGACAACTTGTTTGCCGAGAACTATCTGTGGTTCAAAGCTAGGGACCCTTTGAGGACGCCGAAAGGAACCAACAACTCTTGGAAGGGAAGCAAACATACAAACAAACATGCAAACAAACAAACAAACAAACAAACAAACAAACAAACAAACAAACAAATATACAAACAATCAAACAAACAAGCAAGCAAACAAGGAAACAAGCAAGCAAACAAGCAAACAAGCAAACAAGCAAGCAAGCAAGCAAACAAGCAAACAAGCAAACAAGCAAACAAGCAAACAAGCAAAGAAAAACGAGACACATACAAACAATGGAACCCCTGTTCAAGGTTTTCCCGGCTCCAAACCAAGCATTTGGAGCAGCGCCTGGTTTGGATATGACATGCAATCGGCGTAAACCAACGAGAGTTGTACACCAAAGAAAGTTGCGCAACAACAAAACACCCGAATAACGATAAGTGGGGGTTGGTCAAAATTCCTGGCCCCAAAATGACCATGGGTAACTTCTCCCATTTGGTGATAAAAGCCATCTTTTTCTGTGGTTCCCGAATGGTCAGCCCATGTGAAGCACCTTTTGATCAACCCCCAAGTGACGTCACAGGAAGGTCCTTCACGCCGCTCGGCTCCTATTGGCTTCCCGCAAGGTGTGTCACCGTCGCAACCAAATCGGCTTTTGGGTGGTTTGTTCAACGTGAGCACACACAAAAAAAGAGTTTCCAACAGCTAAAACCAGAGGAAGCCTGCGGTTCTTGGGCATCCCCTATGAGGGTTTCTCATTTTCTATCAAACATGCACAAAAATCCAAACCACACTGAACGCATATCAAAATAAAAGGTGCCCCCGTATAAATGGTGCCGTTCCCTTGTTCTTTATCCTTTGAAACCAACCATTTCTTTAAAGGGCCCCACCCCAAAATACACATCCCCCACCCACTCGTGTCCCTCCAAGCCTTGGCCGCCGAAACCGAAGGCCGAGGAGCGCTTTCACCATGGCGTCCCGCTGGCAGTGGTCCGTCAACGCGCAGCCCCTGGTGGCGTCCTCGGGGGTTTGGCAACGGATGGCACCTCTCGCCAGGGGTGTGACATTTGCGTTTTGGGAGGGTCAGTACCTACCCCTTTAGTGATTTTACACTGGGTTGTCCAGTAGTTTGGGGTTTGAGTAGGCCTACCCCCGTGGTGAGTGAGTGTGGGTGAGTGAGAATGAGAGTGGGTGTGATGTGAGTGAGTGACTTGATATTACACTGGGTCCTCCAGTAGAGAGGTTAGAGCAAGGGTACCAACTTGTTTCTGTAGTCTGTTTTAGTAGGGGAGCCCTACCCCAACAGAGGGTAAAAGGGCACTACTGGGGACCTAGTACATGACAGGTGGGGGGGGGTGTCCTGTTTTGTGAGGCTCGTTACCCCCCTTCTTTGGCGCGACTTTCGTCGTCACTTTACGTGAGAGCCTTTCTCGGAGGGCCCAACGTTTGGGTGGTTTCCAATGGGAAGAAGCCGTTGCTGGTGGTGAAACCGGGGGGTCCGGTGAGCAAAAACAGACACCCACATGATCCCCTTCAGAGGTTGAAGCCTTGGAAGTCAGGAAAGTTGGAGAAGGACAGTTCCCCGCGACAGGGAGTTGGTTGACGTTGGGTTTGGGGAGCAAAAACTGTCAGATTCTAGCAGCCAAGTGGACCACATTAAGCAAACATGTAAAATGTTTTCCCAACAACAACCATGGGGATGGGAAGTTCCTTGGGACCGCCACGTTGCCAGATTCTGACGGGTCGGCTTGGAAAGCCCGGCGGCTTCCGTTGCCATGTTGGGTTCGTGCCCCTGAAGTGGATGGACCAAATGACAGATTCAACGGGCTCCAGGTTCAGCACCTTGGGGTGGAGTTTGGCATGCGGCAAGGCTTGCAACCAGGATTTCGGCGCGGGTCCCCGCACGATTGGACCCTAGCCCCCGACAGCCAAAGGGGCCGTGTGGCCAAAAAAATCCAACATGGGAGCCCGGCTCTGATCTGCAAAACCCCCCCAAAACCGCGGGCGCCTCATGTGCGACCCATTCATGTGGCCGCGGGTCAAAAAAATGTGTATCCATTCTGGAACCCTAGGAAATGGAACCAAGGACTAAAACCCGCGGTCCAATTCCTGGTGCCTTTTATTTTGACCCATACCCATGCGGCCTGACACGGGCCAGACAAAATGAGAGCGAAGCCGCTCGCGTGATGGCCTGCGGCTAGCCAAGCACCAGGGGGTTCCATTTACTAGGGTTTTAGAATGGATGCCTATTTTTGACCCACGGCCATGTGTGGATCATGATTGGTTCTGTTCAGGGGCCCTGCTTCCCGTCCGAAATCAAGCAGACAACCCTGAGTGCTCATCTCCCAGCAACCCGTCACTTCCCACGGAACTGTGCTCATCTCCCAGCCACCCGAACCAAATCATCTTGCAGGTGAGCGATCCCTCGTTCCCTCCCCCCCCAACCTGAGCTGAGCTGGTTCCACCATTCTCATGCAGATCTATGAACCCTTCTGGGAATAATCAAATCGCAGTCAAACCGAGACATGCTGAGAACCGGTCAAACCAAGGCTTCACTCACTAAGTTACAGCCGCCCTGCGCTCTATACTCACTTCCGAGGAGCCTCAACAAGTCCAATCGCTTTACCACTAAGTCGCTAGTCCAGAAACTCAGGGGCTGAGTCTTCCTTTCTGCCGCGGCACGTTGAACTGGTAGAACTCCCATCCCACCTGCGGCAAGGGCAAAAGACATGTCTCCAGGGTCGAGACACCCCATGAACGTTACCCATAGGTGTCCTTGTGGTAAAATAGACCCTGTGTAAACGGAATAAAACCAATCTAAACCAGTGGAACCCATCTATTTCTACCCCAACCGATCAAAATCACCGCTATGTGCCCAGTGTCTAAGGGGTCATGGCTCCATCGTCATGGAAAGCAAGTTGCACGGGACAATCATAACTTTTTTAATAATAATTACAATACTTTTACTGATAACACCTCCAGATATACTGTCATTAATAATATTTTGTTGTATGTGTATCTGTAGTTATAAGATTACATTTTTCGGGTGCCACCGCAAATTGCGATATAATCCAAGGCGCAGATCGCCAACCGGTCGTCTGGCTTACAGATAAGAGGGCCTGGGTTTTGAAGAGTGTCCTCCATTTGCTTAAGGGGAACAGGCCGCTCTCTTTCTTCGAAGATTCAGAGGGACAATAAAATCAAACCAGACATTTCAGAGACCTCCAAGTTTGACAGTGAAGTTTGGCCTATTGAAGTGACACTCTGAAACCTTGTCTGTCAATCGCGGGTAGTGGAAGTCCACATTCGAAACCTATTCTCTCCCCTGCCTTGCCCACACAACACACTTGAACAGACCAGTGAAACACAGTTCGCTTGGAAGTTCAGCATCTCCGGAATGCCATGATTTTCCTTGTGTCAAGTGTAAAAGCGGCTTGTCCTGAGCTCTTTGGGGTCATGTTATTTTCCGCTTCAAGTGTCGTTTCCTTGCCCCTCCATTTGCTCAAGTCCCCTAAGAAAAATAAACATGTTTCCAGTAGTGATAGATTCCCTTAAAACCAACAGGGGAAAATGGAAAATATTTTTAAGCAAATGGAAGGTGTTTTAGGCAGTCGCTTCACGTCCGCCTGCAAACTGAAATCCAAAAATCCTCGGTGTCTCCTGCACTGCCTTTGGCCCGACAAAATGCTGTTGGCCCAAAATAGCAAGGCTCGAAAGTGACTTCCGAAAGCTCGAAGTTGAAGTGCCCCCTTCCCAGACAAGGGACATTTCAGCCCTAACCCGCCTTCTCCGCCTGCTCTTGGCACTCCGACACTGTGTTGGCCGGGCGCATGTCGATGCCTAACACCCCCCATCCACCCTGCAACGAGACCACGGAGCAAAATGTCCTCCAAAATATCCTCGATGGAACATGGGGTAGAGTATATTTACAAAGTCACAATATTGTGGCTCAATACACTAGTTTCCCTTGGAGGAGGTGGTTTCAAGCTTGAACTTCGGGTCTAAATAAGTCGGGGGACGCCCCCTTTCAGTAGAAGGAATTAAATGGATTGAGGCACGGTTCGACAGGGATGGCAAGTTGCCTCCGCCCAGTATCCAAGTAGTAACTTGGCGCAAGTGTCCCCATCTTAAAACAAGTGGTTCTGAATGTCCGTTATTGATCTTACAAAGGAACTCAAGAGGAAGCCAAGCATAGAGTGTCTCCAGCGCATACTCCAACTGGCCTTGCCACTCCGATACCTAGGCGAAATGTGCGTTTCCAACAGTAGGGCACCCCAACAAATGTGTGATTTTTGCCGGCTTCGTCTTCTTTGATTTCCTTTAGGCTTTCCTGTGAACCCCATCCGAACGGGATCACAATTTAGCAACACGCTGCCTCTGGTTGACTCATGCTCATTGACTCATGCTTAGCTACCATCTAAAGTCCTTTCAAGCCCAACCCAAAATAAGGGCTGTGGCCAGACCTCAAAAAACCTCTCCGGCGCGTATGGAAACTTAGCGTCTGCTTCGCATCCACCTTGTTTAAGGTTGTGTGTTTGCTTGTTTGCGTGTTCGTGTGCTTGTGTGTTTGTGCCCTTCGTGTGTTTTTGTGTTTGCGTGTTTGCGTGTTTGCGTGTGCGCGTGTTTGCTTGCATGTGCATGTTTGCGTGGTTGCATGCTTGGGTGCTTGTGTGTTTGCATGGTTGTGCGGCTGCGGTTGTTGTGCGGTTGTGGGGTCGTGTGTTTGTGTGCTTGTGGGTTTGCTTGCTTGTGTGCTTGTGTGTGTGTGTGTGTGTCTGTGTCTGTGTCTGTGTCTGCGTCTGTGTCTGTGTCTGTGTCTGTGTCGGTGTCTGTGTCTGTGTCGGTGTCTGTGTCTGTGTGTTTGTGTGTTTGTGTGTTTGTGTGTTTGTGTGTTTGTGTGTCGGTGTCTGTGTCTGTGTGTTTGTGTGTTTGCGTGTTTGTGTGTTTGTGTGTTTGTGTGTTTGTGTGCTTGTGTGTTTGTGTTTGTGTGTTTGTGTGTGTGTGTGTTGTGTGTTTGTGTGTTTGTGTGTTTGTGTGTGTGTGTGCGTGTGTGTGTGTGTGTGTTTGTGTGTGTTTGTGTGTTTGTGCGCTTGTGTGTTTGTTTGTTTGTTTGTGTGTGTGTGTGTGCGTGGGCGCTTGCGTGTGCGCGTGTGCGGGTGCATGTGTGTGTGTGTGTGTTGCGTGTGCATGTGCGCGCGCGTGCGCGTGTACGTGCGCGCGTGTGCGTGCGCGTGCGCGTGCTCTTGTGCGCGCGCGTGCCTGCGTGCATGTGTATGTGCATGTGTATGTGTATGTGTATGTGTGTGTGTGTATGTGTATGTGTATGTGTATGTGTATGTGTGTGTGTGTGTGTGCGTGCGTGCGTGCGTGCGCGCGTGCGTGCGTGCGTGCGTGCGTGTGTGCGTGTGTAGAGGTGTGTGTGTGTGTGTGCGCGTGTGAGCGTGTGTCCGTGTGTGCGTGCCTGCGTGCGTGAGTGTGTGCATTCCTGCGTGCTTGCGTACGTGCGTGTGTGGGCGCGTGCGTGAGCGCGTGCGTGCCTGCGTGCATGTGTGTGTGTGTGTGCTCTGTGTGTGTGTGTGTCTGTGTTTGTCTCTGTGTGTGTGTATGTGTTTGTCTGTATGAGCGTGTTTGCGTGTGTGCGTGTTTGCGTGTGTGTGCGTGTTTGCGTGGTTGCATGTTGCGTGTCTGCATGTTTGAGTGTTCACATGTAGCTGTGTGTGTGTCTGTGCATATGTGAGTCTGTGTGTTTGTGTGTGTGTGCGTTTGTGAGTGTGTGTGTGTGTGTTGCCCGTTGGGTGTTTGTGTCTTTGCGTGGGTGCATGCTTGCGTGTGCGTGCGTGTCTGTGTGTGTGTGTGCGTGTTTGGGGTCTTGCATGCTTGTGTGTGTGTGTTTGTGTGGCTGTGTGTTAGTGTGTGTCTGTGTGTGTGTGTGTGTGTTTGTGTGCTTGTTTGTTTGCATGTGTGCACGTGTTTGTGTGTGTGTGTGTGTGTTTGTGTTTGGTGTTTTTGGGGTTGTGTGGCTGTGTGGGCTTTCGTGTGTGTTTGCGTATTTGTGTGTTGTGCGCTTGTGCGTTGGTGTGTTCGCGCGTGTCGTGTGTGTGTGTGTGTGCGTTTTGTGAGTGTTGGTGCGCTTGTGTGTGTGTGTGTGTTGGTCTTTGTTCGTTTGTTTGTTTGCTTGTTTGTTTGTTTGTCTGTCTGTCTGTTTGTTCGTTCGTTCGTTCTGTTCGTTTTGTTCGTTCGTTTGCTTCTTGTTTTTTCCGCACTTGCTTGCTTGCTTGCTTGTTTGCGTTTCGGGTTTAGTGCTGCAAAATCGCCTTTAAGTGTCCCTGCCACTCCTTCTAAAATACAACTCAAAACAACGCAAACTTGAAGAACACTTGCCAAACCAGCCAAAAAAAATAGTACAACGAACCAACCACAACCTACTCGGCTCGCGCATCGATCGATGCAAAACACGTGGCCTCCGGGGGCGTAGCACTGCATGTCATCATAGCCGATGCGGAACCACGGGTTTTCTGCCTGTGGGTTTTTGGGTGCGGAGTTGGAACCAACCCATTTTTGGAGAGGCAAAAGGGGGGTTTTGGAGGTGGCCTTTCGTTTTCCATAAAAACACCAACCAAAAACAAGGTACCAACTCAACAAAAGATAATTCCAGTTTTGCGAAAAAAGGGGTTCCTATGCACATACCTCTCTTGCTTTGAATCGGGGATTTTTCAGTGGACCTTCGGCTGTTCATGTCCAGTTTGGAGAGTTGGGAGCATCGAACGATTCATGTCAACGGCCGCGTGCCGCCGGTGAGCCCCGAGAAAATAGTGAGAGGATGGCGTCAGGCAGGTTCTTGGATCTCAATCTCCTTGGCTGAAACAAAGGTGCCAAAACCCATGTGAGTCACGGAGGCTGAAGGTTGACTTACTGGTTCAAGGGAAAGGAGGAAGACTAAAAGGTCCTTGTAGCTACCAGGAACCCAACTCCTTTTGCATGGCTCCTAGAAGGTTTTGCGCTGTGTGCTTCTAGTGAATTTATGATAGGTGGCTGTGTGGGTGTTGGCTTCTGGAAGCTTGTGTAGGCTATGATCTTGCGATATGTGTTGCGGGGTGGGCTGTTTTGGGGTGCTTTTGCGGAGCTTTCTGTACAATCTTTGTTGGGGGACTGTGACAAACTGGGCGTCGGCTTGTGTGAGCCTTTGGGAGCTTTCGGGAAATCAGCTGTTGACAACTCGCTTCACTTGTTGCGTGTGAAAGACCAAAAATGTGGAAGGAGCACGTAAGTCAGCCACGGCTCAAACACCATCGACCTAGAAGGGGGTTGCTGCATAGGGGTGTCGAAAGGTTTAAGGCCCTTCCCACTGAAAGGCCTTCATAAGCAGAAGCCCAAGCTCCGTCCAAAACGTATGACACCATTTCAGCCAAGACCAAAGCCCAGAACCCGCACGAACCCCAAAAAACACCCAAAACGCCGGAGAAGCCACCCCCCACAGACCCCTCAGTCCCACCCCTCAGTCCCCTCTGGCCTGGAGCCGGCGTGCTCGCGCCGGCAGCTCGGCGCACTCCTCGCACCGAAGAACTCCCAGTGGACCCCGAAAAGAAAAGCCGAGGCATGAAGAAAACAAAAATGAGCTCGGTTGCAAGGAATGATGGGTTACGGATAAAAATCGACAAGTAGAACACATCCCAAGATGTCTGGCGATGGAACTGGAGGTTGAAAGGAAGGATGGGGCTACACAAAAGAATCGGCAAGCTCAAAAGGTCCCAAGATGTCTGGCGATGAACAGGAGTCCACGCACCCCCCAAACAGAAAGGGTTGGGACTCAACCCAAACCGACCTAGTGGGGACCGTGTTGAATGAACCTCACCTGCTTGCAATGGACAAGTCACGCGGTTGCCCGAAGGACCCCCGAAGCGGTAAGCTGTTGGGCTGCCCAAATGGCAATCAAAATGGGTCGACAAGGGCAAACGGAGAAACCACGAAGTGCCAAAAACCCATTGACCGTTGGCTCGACCAACGTGTGCAGAAAGGCTTTTCCAGGGATTACCCAAAAAAAACTATAAAGCCAGGAAAACAACTCAAAGGAGCCTTGCTCTGGATAGCTTAGGGTCAACCACACGCTTCACAGCAAACACTCTCACAAACCCAATCAAATCTGGGTGAATCATAAACCGTTCACACCCTAAAACAAGAGCTCTACGGAAGGAACCTTCATGAAGTCGAAACTCCCAGATTGTTCGATTCGTGATATGCGGCCCTTGGCCGATGCTGCGGCTGTGTCCGCGAGACTTGACCTACGCACCAGCTGCTCAAAAGGCTTCCCTCAACTCTCTCCCCAGTCCTTGCCCTGGCATGGAGCCTCCTGCAGAAACACACGTCGACCAACTGCTTGGACCTCCCCACAGGACTTTACGTTTGAATCGTGCGTCTTCAATTCCTCGGCCAAAAGGGGAAATTGCAAAAATGATCCCCCCCCCAAAAGAAAACTAGTTTGCAACATGATGCCCCTGTGCAAATGGGAACCCGAGTCATCCAAAACTCAGCCAGTCAGAAAATTGTTCGACCACTCATGGCAGACAGTTCCGCGAGACACCATTGCACAAGACATCTCTGGAAATTCGACCGATGACGTCCAAGGGATTCGCACCCTAAGAATATTGCGGTTGTCCTTGTGGCCTTTTGGTTTCCCCTGAAACCAAGCTTTGTTTCAAGGAGTACCAACTCCAACAAAAACAAACAGAAATTGGTCAAAGCAGGGCGCGATTCTGGGTGGAGCGGGATTCTGAGGCTTGGTGGTTTCTGGTGTCCTTCAAACCTCACGAGTTCTATGTGCCACGAAAAAAACATTTCCTTTGGCATGCGACCCGGGACAAGGGACATTTTGGTCAAGTTTGGCTGAGAATTCACACGCTTGCTGGTCAACCACATGGATGAGGCCGTTCCCCCCCCCAAGAAAAAGAGATGGCTCCACATTTGGCGGAAAGCCAGACAACCAAAAAGCCAGCGATTGCAGATAGCGGGTTGGTCTTTTTTTGAGGGAAGGAAAGGAAGACCAAAAGGAAACCACCATTTTGGGGGGGTCAATTGAAAAAAGACACACCCATGTGTGTGTGTGTTTGTGTGGACATAGGGGACCGCCAAGTTGGTCGGTGGTGCTTGGGTGCGCCAATTCAATCCCACTCCAAACAGGACCTCCAAGAACACACACCCAATTGGAGGTACAACAAATGGAGTTTGTTTATGTGACTATATGGCTTTTTGAAACCTTGGTGTCCCATTGGAATCCCTTAACACAAACCAAACTGAAAATGGTACCGAGCCTAGAACGAGCCCATATAACTTCATATAACTCGGTCTCTAAACTACGGGACCTCCAACAGGTTGGTTGCCTTTTGGTTGCCTAAACCAAAAGGGGGGTCACAAAAGAAAAAAGACCATCGTTCTCTCTTGTTTTGGAGTTCGTACCCCATTTTGAGGTGGGTTTAAAGGGACACCAGAAGGACCACCGAAATCCATGTTGCGGGGTACCCCCCAAAAAAAAAAAACACAGACCCATGTCAAAAAAAGCAGAACAAAAAGAGAAAAAGACACAACAACACGGACCCTGGCTCAACCCAGTCACACCGATCCCTCCCGGATCGTGCCGACCTGCTCTTTGGCGAAGGCCAGCAAAAGAAACGCGGCCACCCAAGCGGAGCGGCCCATGGCCTAGCAGCTCACACTGAAACGAAGGGGTCTGTCTCCGAATTTTTGGGGGGTACCCCTTGTTCGGTTCGCATTCTTGAAGCGAAAACCAAAAGGAAAACCGGAATCCGTTTCGGGGGAGTCCGGCGGATTACAAAAGACACGCCCAAGTCTAGGCCTATTGGGGTGGAACTGCGAAACAAAGAGCCCAGGCCCATCCCGTCTGTGAAACGCATGCGTGACCAAAAGAACCAAAGTGGACACCAACTTGGAAACCAAATGGCTGTCGTTTTTAGCGGGCTCCCCTTTCCTTTTTGTGGTGTTGAACTTAAGGGAAACCAAAAAGGAACACCGGAATCCATTTTGGGGGGTCCGACCGGGAAAAAGAGGGCACAAAGGAAAACAAACCCGAGAAACCCGCAGCGGAAACAGGTCTGCCTCCAACTGCCCGGCTGCCTCAGGTTTCGGATCTTGAGCCAAATGTGGCGGAAGAAGGTCAGGGAGCCGGACACGGCCAGCCCGCGGACTTTCTTTGGAAGAGGAAAACACAAGAAAACGTGGCAGTGACGCCCCGAATTTGAATCATCCAGTTTCTGTGTAACCCAAAACAAACAAAACGTGGCAGGGACGCCCCTGATTCGAATCACCCAGTTTCTGTGAAACCCAAAACAAACAAAACGTGGCAGGGACGCCCCTGATTCGAATCACCCAGTTTCTGTGAAACCCGTCTGGGTCATCTGGATCAGTTCAGCCGAGAACGACTCTTCGGTTCTGCCAAGGTGAAAGGATTCTTTGCCGGCGGGAAGCACATGCAAAGAAGCAAAGGATCTCCATGGCAAGGGGAGCCCCAAGTGAAAATCGGTCCAAAAGCTGCGCTTTGCCACAGGAACATACGAATGATCCCCAGAATTGGAAAACGGCAGTTGGAAGGAGTAAACCAAGACCCACCGAAAAATCTCTTGCCTGGGCTGTTCAAGCTGATCCCCTGCTAAGTGTTTTGTCTTGTGGGGTAAACTTGGGGAGCAACAATTTAGATTTCAGCAGTTAAGTGGGGATTTCCCACTAAACCACAATAAGCAAAAATGTAAAATGTTTCCCAACAATAACCATGTAAATGGAACCCCCCCACACCCCAAAAGCCTAAAACCTGGGGGGCCAGCTGGGAGCCGGCCAGAAGAAGCAACCCAATCAAAGCCGCGGGATCAAACGACCAGCTTGCCAGCGCCCGATTCGAGATGGCAAACCCCGGGCGAGGGCCTCCCGTCTCTCTCCACACCTGCGGCAAAATCTCCTGGGCGGAAAATCGGGAGGATTTTGAACATCGGGAGGAACATCCGCCTGGGGAGCCGCGGCATGTTTAGGAAGGCGCGTGCTGACACGAGTGGTGGTTTGCCCCAACAGCTGCAAGCTAACCGGTCTTTGCGAAGATAGGTGCTGGGGTTGTGTCAGGGAGGGTTCCAGAGAGTTCCGGGGGGGGGGGGGGTTGGGGCCGTTGGGGATGCCACCTGGGCATATTGTTCGGGCCAGAAAGCAACTTGCTGGTGCTCAGCAGGGAATGAGGAGATGACTTTTATGACCCATTCAACGGTGGTTTCCCTTAAAGGGACCCCTGGGTTCATCCCCACATTCCCTACCTATCACACCAGCAAGGCAACCAAGAGGAAAAGTATCCATGTATCCACCTACCAAAATCCACGGGCCAATCGGGTACCTGAAGCCGTCGACTCGGAAGACATTGCAAAGCAACTCACGGACCTGCGGAATAAAGACATCGACCCACCGATCCGCGAACATTTGGAACCATTTGGAACCCCCGCTTTCCCCGCGAACCAGCAAAATGTTTCCCATGTGAGTACTGGTGGCCTGGCCTACATATCCTCTTAACATGGAACCGGGGGGTCCTGGCTTGAGCCTTGTCATTTAAGAGGGACCGTCAGGTTCCATGTTACTTGTGAAGCTGGAAGGAAATTTATTAGGTTTGGGGGGGGGGGGTTGTCATAGAATGATATGCGTAAGTATTTTGTAGCCCCAAACAACCCAAACCGGCTCGCTGAACGCCGCCCGAGCGTCGAGTCGTTGGCGAAGGTGTTGCCACACTTCTGGCAGGTCGAGGCCTCGATGGTTTCTCCATCCAGCCGAGCGAGAAAACGCACACCATGCGGTTTTGGGGGTCCGACTCTTCGCATGGAACCCAAGCAATCGGACCATGACCCCCCAGTGGCCATCCCCTCAGAAGAAAATCAAAAGCCCTCAGCCCCCGGCCCCGGCAGCCCAAGCTGAGGGGGGGGTTTTGGGGGGGACCTATTTGGGTGTGTCTGGTTTTTTTTGGGAGGGGCCCCTGGACATCATGGTTTTCTTTTGGTTTCCCTTTCTTACCTACCACAAAAGGGGGTACCAGCTCCAAAAAAGAACGAGCCAAACCTTTTGCAAAACCTCCACACATTGCCTCCCCCCCTTCCCCCCCAAGGTCCGTGCCAACATGGAGGTGCTGTCCACCTGATCAACGTCAGCCCATCCTCTCCCCCCACCCCCCCCGATCCTGGCAGGGTGTTTGGTTGAAGCGTCTTCGTTGCCAATCCAGGCGCTTGGTCAAGAACAAAAAGCAATGCCATCCCCTTGCCCCCCGGGTATTTTTGGTTGACGTTGCCAAGAATTCAGGCGCTTGGTTAAGAACCGGGATGTCTGTCGCAAAAGTCCTGAGGCTTCGGTCGAACCACGAAGACAGGACCCCACACCCATCGGTCTGTCAAGTTCCTATACTTTCTGCCACCCAGCGCCGGTATGAGAGGCCCCCTGTTCGCATGATCCAGACCTCAGCTTTCATGAGGCCTCGTGTTCGACTCATTTCCACGGCAACAAGCACCGAAGCCGGGATTTTAGGGTGGTTTTCTGGGCGTTCCTCCCCAAACTGTTCATCCGCCATAGGTTGTGACACCCATGGCCTCCCGCCCCCCAGAAGTGCGCCTCAGTCCGAAAATGCCTCAGCCGCACATCTCGTCGCGCGCGCGACAACCAGGCACAACCGCGCGACGCGGGGGGGGGTCCAACCTCATTTGCGAACACCATCTAAGCAACCTCTTCCTGAGACAAGGGCCAATTTGGAGCGATTTGCAACATGGCAACTTGCTATGTGGCAGACGTACATGCGTCAAGCCAAGTGCTCAGAGTACCACGATGCTAGGTGACCAGGGTTTCTTGCCGCCTGGCTAGCAGGGCTAGGTCTTACCTTGCACCAGGCTTTGCCAGAGAGATCTTTCAAGACCGCATCCACCGACTGACCCGTTTTGACGCAACCAACCATCACATGGCTCTGGGTCAAAAAGTAGGGTAACCCCAAAATGGCACCTTGGTACATGGAACCAAAGACTAAAACCTGCGTAACTCTGGGCCACACCCACATCGACTTTTCTGCCTATCCTCCTTGCCCTGCACCAAAACTTCGCTGAAGGGCGTCTGAGCGAGCGACCGACAGCGCCGTGGGCATGTACATTAACAGAACTCAACCTGGCTCGACGCCCAAAAAAACCACGGGCCAGCAACCAAAAACCCGCGGGCTTGGATGCGAAACAAATAGAGGATCACGAGAAGTCATCTTCTTCGGGCCTCCCAGAAAGTTTGGACATCCATAAATCTGTGGGGTTCCAACAAACCTAGCCTGGCATCCGCTTGAGAAACAGCGTGGATGCTTATTTTGGAGCCGGGGTGGTGACAAGCCTGCCATTGGGCTTCTTGAGGCGGGGATGGGTCGCTTTCGGCGGATCTTTTGCTTGGACATTGAAGCGGCTCACGTGACAGCTCAGTTGGCCTCCTATGGTATAGTAGGGGAACTATCGTTGCTCAAAAGGTCGAAAGGATGAAGGATGTACCAAACAGCAACCAATACACAAAGGAGTGGCTGACAGGACGGCCGCAGAACCATAACCCAAGCAGGGCACTTGGATCACACTGATCTTCTTCCTTCTTCTTCTTTCAGAGATTTTTGTTCGTTGCCGACAAAAACCTGTGGCAAAGCACCGAAGCATACGGATTTGGGTGCCCACACCAACAGGCATCGAGGCATGATGCTCGGAACCCATCTTCCATCCTCAGGGCCGAAACCTGTGGCTTTTCGACGTCACGGACACTCACAAATAAGAAAGCTGGAGAAACAAATCGCGGGAACAAAAGAAGATGAGCCAGGGTCAGCCCCGACTCCGGATGGTGGGCCCCGACTCGATAGTTTTCAGGTCACTGCGACTCGCAGTGTCGGGCAAAAGACTGGTCCCTGGAGTCGCTGAATTCGGGTGCCCCAAATAGCCACTCCCAGGAGGAAGTTCAAAAAGCATCTTCAGCACTTTCGGGCGGAACCAATTTCCGGGGTGTGCCGGGAGTTCACCCCCCTTCCCAACTGAACCCCCCGCCTCTTTTTCTCCGGCCGAGCCCAGCTTGAGTCGAATGCGGCAAGTGGAATGCGGCAAGCCACGCATCAACTGAATGGAGCAGAACTTGCCTTCTGGGCGACGAAGGGAGTCGAAAAGCCAAAGGCCTATCTCAACGGGTGAGCCCCAAACCAAACGAGCTTCACTCACTGACCCAGAAATGAGAGGCTGGATCTTTTGGAATCACGGAGAATGGGTATGTGTATGTGTCAAAATGTGGAGATCACAGGGGACTTGTCTTATTCTGTGTGTTCTTCTGTCTTTTATGTTTTTTTCCCGAAAGCATGGCGAAGGGTTCTTCCGCTGGGTTCACTTGAGTTGTTCTCATGAGAGTCATTACAAGGTGTCATTGCAAGGAATCATCATCATGAAAGTCATTGCAAGGAGTCATTGCAAGGAGTCATTGCAAGGAGTCATTGCAAGGAGTCATTGCAAGGAGTCATTGCAAGGAGTCATTGCAAGGAGTCATTGCAAGGAGTCATTGCAAGGAGTCATTGCAAGGAGTCATTGCAAGGAGTCATTGCAAGGAGTCATTGCAAGGAGTCATTGCAAGGAGTCATTGCAAGGAGTCATTGCAAGGAGTCATTGCAAGGAGTCATTGCAAGG